GGCCAGTAAAGAATGGAGTGCAGCGGCTGTAATGTGCGGAACTAGATAAAGGCAGTGACTTCACCTTGCTGCGAATATACTATAGGCCGCTGAATGAATTGTTCACTTGAAAATGGTGACTTTTGCTATGTGAATTTCACCTCAATTAAAAAGAAAGTCATAGAGCAAATACTTGAACCCTGATCATCGGGACCCTGGAGGCTTAAAGTCTATGATTAAGGAAAAGGTGCCAGAGGGGCACCTGGGTGGCTCAGTCGGTGAAGTGTCTGCCTTCGGCTCAGGTCATGATCCCGGGGTCCTGGGATCGAGCCCTGCATCGGGCTCCCTGCTCAACGGGGAGCCTGCTTCTCCCACCCCTGCTCATGCTCGTTCTCCGTCTCTCTCAAATAAATAAATAAAATCTTTAAAAAGAAAAAAAAAGAAAAAGAAAAGGTGGCAGAACATGGGAAATAAAAAAGGGGAGAACCAAGCGGGTAGGAAATCAACTGTGCAAACATGACAGTAAACACCCAATGCCACACACCGTGTCAAGCTGCGGGGTTAGGTAGATGTACAGGCCCATCCTGGAAGCACCCACAGGACATACAGCACTGTGTGAAGACTATCTAAGATGCGACATCAGAGCCAAAATGAGGAAGGAGGAATGAATTCTGAAGGGAAGCTTTCCAGCCAGCGAAGAGCCCACCAGCCAGAGAACTAGGAAGGATGCAGGGCCGTCTGCAGAAGTCAGCGTGGGCCCTACCGTAGGGACTGAAGAAAAAGGCACCCACTCAGCATTCAGGGATGTCCGCTGGGTGCCAGGCACCATCTTAGGCACTGGGAATTCAAATACTCAAAAGTCATGGTCCTGGTCCTCATGGGACTCACAATAAAGAAAGAAGATAAAACCAGACAAATATCTTGGAAATCAATCTACTGTTAAAGTTGGCTAAAAATTTGGACTTTGTTCCTGACGTTTTTAAGCAGGAAAGTGACATGAAAATTTCAGTAACTTAGAAAGAAGTGAGAATTTGATGAGAGAAAGGAATGAAAGAAGACCCATTAGAAAGCCATCTGTATATTCAATGCAATCCCTATCAAAACTCCAATGGCACTTTTCACAGAAATAGAAAAAACAATCCTAAAATTTGCAAGGAACAAGAGACCAGGAGTAGCCAAAGCAATCCTGAGAAAAAACAAAACTGGATGTATCACACTTCCTGATTTCAAACTACACCACAAAAATACAGTCATGAAAACAGTACGGTACTAGCAGAAAAACAGACACATTGACCAAAAGGACAGAATAGAGAGCCCAGACACAAGCCCTCCCGTTTATAGTCAATTAATATTTCACAAGGGAGCCAAGACTCAGTGGGGAAAGAATGGCCTTTTCAACAAATGGCGCTGGGAAAACCAAAGAAATGCTTGCAGGACAATGAAATTGGATCTCTACCTCACACCACTCACAAAAATTAACTTGGAATGGATCCAGGACTCCCAACACCTGATAAGCTAAAAATCCTAGAAGAAAATATAGGGAAGAAGCTCCTCGACGTGTGTCCCAGCAATGATTTCTTTGGATCTGACACCAAAAGCACAAACAACAAAAGCAAACATCAACAGAAAGGGTGACACTACATCAAACTAAAAAGCTACTCTAAGCAAAAGGGACAATCAACAAAATAAAAAGGCAACCTATGGAAAGGGAGAAAATATGGGTAAACCACTTATCAGATAAGGGGTTAATATCCAAAATACACAAGGAACTCATACAACTCAATAGGGGAAAATAACAATAATAATAATAATAATAATCTGATTAAAATGGGGAGAGGAACTGAATAGACAGTTTTCCAAAGAAAACAAACAAATGGCCAACAAGTACATGAAAAAGTGTGCAACATCACTCATCATCAGGGAAATGCAAATCAAACCACACAGAGGTATCACCTCATACATGTTAAAATGGCTATCACCAAAAAGGTAAGAGACAGCAAGTGTCAGTCAGGGTATGGAGACAGGGGAACCCGGAACCCTGTGCACAGGTGGAATTATAAGCTGGTATAGCCCCTATGGAAAGCAGTATGCAGAGTCCTCAAAAAATTAAGAATAAAATTACAATATATGATCTAGCAATCCCACCTGTAGCTAAACATGCAAAGGAAATGAAAAGAGGATCTTGAAGAGGTATCTGCACTCCCGTGTTCACTGAAGCATTATTCACAACAGCTATGATATTGAAGCAACCAAAATGTCCATCAACAGATGAACAGATAAAAAAGATGTAATATGCACATAAAATGAAATATGAACCACCCACAAGAAAGAGGGAAATTTTGCCATTTGTAACAACATGGATGTACCTCGAGGGCATTATGGTAAGTGAAATAAGTCAGAAAAAGATACTCTATGATCTCACTTATATGTGGAATCCAAAAAAGCCAAATTCAAGAGAGTGGAATGGTGGCTGCCAGAGCCTGGGGGTGGGGGAAATGAGGAGATATGGGTCAAAGAGTAAAAATTTCCAGTTATAAGATGAGTAAGTTCTGGGGATGTCAGGTACAGCACGGTTATTATAGTTAACAATACTGTATTATATACTTTAAAGTTGCTAAAGAGAGTCAATCTAAGTATTCTCACCACAAAAAAAAAAAAAAAAGAAATGGCAATTATGGGATATAATGGAGGTGTTAGCTAAAGCTATGGTGGTGATCATTTCGCAATATATATCAAATCAACACGCTGTACCTCTTAAATTTACACAATCTTATACATCAATTATATCTCAATAAAGCTGGATAAAACAAAGTGTATGCAATGGTTCACAAGAGCATTAACACAGGTGTGGATTCAGGTGAAGCAGTGGGAACAACAGAGAGAGCAGAGGTCAGATCAGGAAGAGTAGTGTGTATGGTTGGGGTTTTCAAGTGGCTGTGGGGTAAATGACATTGATTCATGTAAGGGGCACAGGACAATGCCTAGACTATAGTAAATTATCAATGTTACTATTATTACTTTTTATATTAGCTTCAGCACTCAAATAATAGTGACTTTACTTTCTAAATTTTAGAACCGCCCCTCACCAGTGGTAAAGAGAGGTGAGAGGAAACCAAACCAGTAGACAAACCACACTAAAGACAAGAACAGGGCTTGTCTCTGTGTTCTCTGTCGATACAAAAACCTTTCCCAAATATGGAAGGAATAACTAAATGAATAAAGGAACAAATAAACAAGTAAACACAAGAAGAGCAATGACCTCCAACTCCCAAACTCTAAAAGACCAGGAAATGGGAGCACCTGGGTGGCTCAGTGGGTTAGGCGACCAACTCTTGGTATTGGCTCAGGTCACGATCTCAGGGTCCTGAGACTGAGCCTGCCTCAGGCTTCATGCTCAGCAGGGAGTCTGCTTGGGGTTCTCTCTCTCTCTCTCTCTCCCTCTGCTCACGTGCTCACCTGCGTGCATGCTCTCTCTCTCAAATAAATAAATAAATATTTTTAAAAACCACCAGAAAATGATTCATTAGCTGATCTACAAAACAATTTCAGAAAGATCTGTTTTCAGGGGCGCCTGGGTGGCTCAACCGTTAAGCATCCGACTCTTGATTTTGGCTCAGGTCGTAAGATCGAGGCTCGTGTCAGGCTCTGTGCTGGGCGTGGAGGCTGCTTAGGATTCTCTCCCTCTCCCTCTCTCCTCCTCCCCCCCCACCCCCTTGTGGCACACATTCTCTCTCTAAAAAAAGAACTAAAGTTTACCAAGGAATATACATTGTTCTAAGAACCAGAATATTTTATCTTCATGCTATCCCATAACCATGTTTCTTCAAGCTGAAAACTCTGTAATTAAAGTCCTTGTGCTGCTTTATTTTCCAAGTGGGTTTTGTCTTTTTGCAGCTGCAGAGACATCTGCCAGGACCCCTCCAATGTGAGGCATCGAGGACCCCTGCTTGTCAGTACATCCCCATTCACAGGCAGGCAACCTTTCTCCTCCTATAGTGGTCTCTTTCAGATCAGAAATTCCACAAGAATGGCAGGTAATAAAAATGCACGTCTTGGCCAATTAAGAAGTAACATTCTTAGCTTTGCACAGTGACGGTATCGTAGCCAGTGAGCTTTATCCGAGGCACGATTATTGCTAAGAAATAACATTCTTTGCTACTATTATGTATTTCCTGTCCAATCTCCCTATATGCTAAAATATACAGTGCTTCTGCTCTAATACAATTATATACATTACCGAAAGATCCCATGTTTTACAAAATTTACTACCAAAAAGAACAGTTTCAGAAAAAATTGGTTTGGGGCATTCCTCTCAAAACCTGTGGAGCTTCAAAACACAAAAAAATAATAACTGATAACCTGGAGAGTTAATCTGACCACCTAGGCAGGTGGCTGAGCATAGCCAGTGACTAATTCAGCCAATATCAAAAATAAATAAATAAATAAAATAAAAACAACAGGGGTAAGATACAATAATGCTTTAATTAGAGTAATACTGGCAGACACCCAGGCACAGGAAGAAGCATAACCTGCTCTGAGCCAAGAGCCATGAAAGGCTGACTGTCCCTGACCAGGGAGGGGGCCCAGGGCCAGGTAATCCTTCTGATCACTGTCAACACACACATACGCACACACACACTCACAGCAACTGACCTTTTTCCTATCCAACTCAAGTTCAGAATTCTACTCCCCCTACACTCATTCCCTTTGCCTAGGAAAATTTGTATACACCAACACAACTCTGGCCCTTTTGACCAATTACGTATGAATGGACATGTCTCCAAAAACAAAGCACCTGGTATTTCATGCTGTCCTCAGAGAAAGTGATCTGAGCCAACTAAAGTGTCCTTAGAGAGGACACCTGCACATTCGTGAGCAGAGGCAGGTGAAACCAAGGGTGAAGGCCTCCACAAACTGAGTTTTCCCCATCCTATAACCAGTCCTATTACCTATGAAAGAAATAATTCCCAGAGAAAGACGTGACCACAGAATCAAACCAACAGAAAAATGCAAATACTTACATATAATATGTTGGATAGAGTCCTTCAAAATACCAGCAATGTTTTTTGGCCTCTGTGCACTGAAAATAGAAGAAAAACTGTCAGTGGAAAGTCATCTGCATATTGTTAAGAAGATCCGACAAAAGGGCACAAGGATGGATGAACTGATATACCTTGAAGTGTGGAAAGCAGAGGGTTAGGGGAGACAAAGAATCAGAGGGAGACCCATCCCCACGATGACTTTTTTTTTTTTTTAAGATTTTATTTATTTATTTGAGAGAGAGAGAGAGCAAAACAGAGAGCACAAGCAGGGGGAGGGGCAGAGGGAGAGGGACAATCAGACTCCCCGCTGAGCAGGGAGCCTGATGTGGGGCTCGATCCCAGGACCCTGAGATCATGATCTGAGCCGAAGGCAGACACTTAACTGACTGAGCCACCCAGGTGTCCCCACGATGACGCCTTTAATTTCTTTAATTTTTTAAAAGGGAAGAAAACAGGAAAACATCAATTTCCCTATAATTTTTCTAGTCTTTTATATCCCTAAAAATATGGGCATATGACCAGTTCATTAAAAAGCTAAACTAAAGACAACCCATTTTTTTAAATTCATATGGTTCCATATTTCAAATATCTAAAATATGCTAAAAGTAAAGTATGACAAATACTTCCATTTTCCCCAACTGTCATTTCTGAAAGGTATTTCCCACAGTTTTAACATTTCTAGATCTTTATATTTCAGAGTATTCCAAAAGCCATATTCAAATCATGGATCTCCTGGTGGGGATGTACATCTTCTGGGCTTTGTAAATCAGGATTCATTTGCCAGCATCCATGGCGCCCCCTGCCCTCGTTCCCAGGAAGGAGAAATGGACGAGGAGGACAAGGAAAGATAACAGGGCCTCCCCAGTGCTTTCCAAGGAAGTCTGACACTGGACATGGAGGGCAGAGCAGGTGTAATGCGACCCCGGTGGACTGGACTACCTCACACACCTCCAACAACCGAGAGTACGTGCACCAGGTGCTGAGTGAGCGCTCCAAGGGGAAATGCTCTCATGGACCTGCACAAGATTTCTCTAAAATTCTTCAGCTTGTGCTATCATTTTTTTTTAATTCACAACTTCCCACATTCATGATCCAGTTCATTGGACCCTATGTATAAACAATAGCTTCAAAATATTATAGTGCAAAGCTACCGACAGGAAAACAAGGAAAGGCATAATGAAAACTAAGCTTTCTTTGGGGAAGGCAGGGGCTGTCTCACCCAACCCCCACCCCTGGGCATCCTTCCTCTGCCTTTTCCAGCCCTAGCAGATGTATGGCAATGCCCTCCTGCAACAGTCTTCCTGACAGTTACAAGGAAGTTTCAGAAACAGACCCCAAGTGTAAAGCTGAGTGTCGAGGGAAAGGTGAATGCAAATATTATGTGTTACACTGGCTAAATCAGATGGGTTATGAAAAGAGCGTGAAACACTGGGTTTTTTAAAATGTGCTTCAGGACATTCAGAAGCACACTCAGGCAGTCTGAAGTGACCCAGTTTCATTAATGGAAAATGAGTTTAATTTAGACTACGTTAGTTCCTGCCCAGTTCAAGAAATGAAGTTCAGACAACCGAAGAAATCAATTTATTTTGGCAAGGAAGAGCAATTTCAGGTCTCTGCCCTAAATTACAATTCATTTCACTGGAGTCCTCTATGATAAGCTGAGAAGCCAGGTCGTTCTTCCAGGTAGCATGTTAAATGTTTCTTCTTTATTCTCCATCCCTACTGGAGATAGGCACACTTTTCTTTGAACTTGACACCCAACTCTCCCCAGACTGTCTTTTGACCACAGGATGGCAGAAAGAAAAGCCAATCAAGACAGAGGATCCTGCTCCCAGATCTGCCATGACCAGGCTGACCGACTCTGGGAAAGGCAGCGCTCCCTGACCTCAACACCCAGCTGCCTGCATGGTGGTGGTATGGGACATACAGAGAGGCGTGTATGGGATCGATGGGAATCCATGTATGTATGTATGTAGGAGCTTCAGAACTACAACAGGGTATATAAAAGCAGTGAATCATTACGTACAGTACAACTCCCAGACACTCTTGTGGGGAGCCTGCTTCTCTCTCTCCCTCTGACACTCCCCGCCCCCTGCTTGTGCTCTCTCGCGCCCGCTCTCTCTCTCTCAAATAAATAAA